GACTTATGACAGGAGCTGAGGCAGCAGAACGCGACGCTAATAATAGAGAACAGGTTGCTGCTCGGGAAGCATGCCTGGAGGCTAATTTAGGCCAAGCAGCTTCATTTGTAGCAGGGCCAATACCCCTCGCAGGGCGCCTCCTCCTCCTCCTCCTCCTTCTACAGCTCCTGTTGACGTACCTTGATTCCCCCCTCGTGGATCCGCCGCCGGCGCCGTCGTCATCGCCACTGCCACCACCACAAGGGTTCGTCAGTCCTTCCCAACCCCTGAGGATGAAGAAAAAGAGGAGGAAGAAGAAGCTATAGATGAGACTTTTATACCCCCTCTTTCGACGCACCAGCAGCGATGACGCAATCGAGAGCTTGCCGTAAGAGAGCCCTTACAATGAAGGCGTTAAGAGGCCCAACAGGTGCCACAACGGGGTACAGGGCAAGGCAAGGGCAGGGGCAGAGGCAGGGGCAGGGTCACAAGAGGATAAAGCTATTTCTGTAACATCACGTTTTCTATATCCATTTCCTAATAAGGAAGTCATAACAGCGTCAATAAATAGTGTAGATTTCTATGTAAAATCATCATATTATTCAAATGGTCAAGGTGGATAGATTTGCTAGCAATTTGTATGACGTAATACCCGCTAAGACGCAAACGCCGAATGCACCGCTGCGAATGCACCGTTCCCAACGCATTCCAATGGTTTCGAGTGTACTAGGCTTTGCTCTTTATGAATTTGAGTGTTGAAGCATCAAGTGTAGGTCTCAACACGTATCGGTGACGATCCAGATCATAGCTAATTGCCGGGTTAGGCATCTATTTCCATCCCCACTCCTTGGATAGTTCCTTACATGTCAACACAACTTCGCCTGTGAACAACATATGCACACCATATGTCGGGAGAACATACAGAATATTTTGGTCACGGCTCTACATCCACGTAACAAGACCGCTGACAAACATAACGTCTTACGGTCGTTGTCAATGTCATGTCTGCCTCGTCCGAGCCAGGGTCATTGGCCTTTCATAACCAGGGCCATGCCTTGTACATAGGGGGAAACCAAACTGCGCAAGGAAATATCAATTACTACTAGTCAGTCATCCCAAGCTCCTCTGTTGCATCTGCTTAAAGACAGCAGCAATGGTGAAGGGCCCCAACAGGACAGGCCTGTGAACACTGGGCCCAACTACTCCTTCGGGTTGAGCTTGGACGGTGCGCCTCAGATTGCAGATGATCTCTTTGTAGGACGCGAAAGAGAGTTGGTGCAGATGCAAGAATTGCTTTCACCCATAACGAGGGTTCAGAACGTCGTGGCCGTATCAGGCTTGGGTGGAATGGGAAAGACACAACTCTGCATCCATTATGCCAAGCAGCACCGTGAAACGTATTCGTCCATCTTCTGGCTTAATGCCAAGGACGAAAGCACCTTGACGGCAGGTATTTATAATTTAGTGATGCGTGTCGCGGATGGCTCTTCGTCCCTATATACAAGCCATCTCAACCCAGACGAGGCTGTTAAATGGTTCCAGTCGTGGTTGTCGAAGTCCGAGAATAACAGATGGCTTGTGATCTTCGACAATTATGACGATCCTGATATGCCAGGAATGCGAAGCGCCACGGGCTATGACCTCCGTCGATTCTTTCCACCCAGACAACAAGGTTTTATCCTTATCACAACACGTGTCACTCGCTTGAGTTTTGCTACACAATTGAAACTATGTAAACTCGAAAAGCCCCGCGAGAGCCTAATGATCCTGGCTAATCGTTCAGGCCGAAAGACCGAGAGCGGTAAGTGGTCTTAAGTCCAAATACTTCCTGTGGTAGCTATTGTTAACAAATCTAATTATCTATTTTAGATCCACACGCAAAGGACCTGGCTCTGAGGTTGGATGGGCTACCGCTTGCTCTGGCGACAGCTGGCTCGTACTTAAGTCAGACAACCAGCACATTTGGCGATTATTTACAGTTGTACGAAGACAAACTTGAAGAACTTGAGCAGAACTCCGAAGGACTGTTGGAATACGATGATCGGCGGCTCTGGACCACATGGGCTATATCACTAAAGCAGATCGAATCTCATGATCCTGAAGCTGTGAAGCTAATGCAGTTGCTGGCCTACTTCGACAATCAGCATATCTGGTATGGCCTCCTCCGGCCAGGTGGAGACTGTGGGCTATCTTGGCTCTCTGATGTGGTCAGAAACGAGATAAGATTCAACCGAGCGATGGCAAAGCTACATGACTATTCGTTAATCGATATCCGACCCGACAGTTACAGCATACATGCATGTGTCCACGACTGGGCATTAGGCTTCCTAAATCGCAACCTGGATTTTGCTTTACATGGGGTGGCGATGCATTGTGTTGGTGTAGAAGCGATGTTGCCAGGTAACTATATAAGAAATCGACGATTGCTACAGCATGCCAACCGCCTTCAGAGTGGCCGCTTGAAAATTATGATGGACAGCAATATGGCAAACATGCATGACTTAATCCATATAGCTATCTTGTATAATCAGTTAGGTGAGCTCAGCAAGGCAGAGCCGATATATTTACGATTATTACAAATGACACAGCAAAATGAGTCAATATCGACTCAGGAAAATATGTTGATGTGGGAATTACTTTGCGAATTGGGTGGCATCTACGCCTCCCAAGAAAGATTTGCAGAAGCAGAGGAGTTGTTGCTGAATGCATTAGCAGAGCTAAAGAAGTTACATGGTCTTGAAGATCTAACGACAATAGGTATACTCCACAAGCTAGGTGCTCTCTACTTAGCACAGGGAAAGTTGGATGCAGGAGAGAAGATAATTTTGCAGGAATTAGCAGGAACTGAGCAGATATGCGGTTCTGAACACCATACGACGCTACGTGCATTGCATCTCCTAGGCCACTGTTACATGAATCAGGGAAAGATGGCAGGTGCAGAGTCAATATTGCTGCGCGCATTGACAGGATTCGAGAAGGTGTGCGGTCTGGAGGATGAATCGACGCTGAGCGTAGTTTGGTTGCTAGCTGAACTCTACGTTGATCAAGAAAAGATAGCAGAAGCAGTGGAGCTGTCTCAAAGGGGAATCAAGGGACTTGAGAAGATACGGGGCTCAGCGACATTGGGGATGGCCCGTGAACTTGCTGCGTCCTTCGGGAAGAAAGGAATGCTAGTTGAAGCTGAGCAGATGTATCTGAGGGCACTGGCAGCATACGAGAAGATGCTGGGCCCTGAGCACGAACTCACGGTGGAAACAGCATATGAGCTAGAATGTTTTCAGAGGCACATGAAATATTGTGTTCCTGTTTCAAGCCTGTCCGACAGCACGAACAGTACCTCAGCAAGCGATATCGATAACGGATGGGAGCACCATATGACGCTGGATAGCCTACAGGATACTATGATGGGATCGACATCGGAAGCAATAACAGCGAGGCGAAATTCTCCTCCCTTGGGGTCTCCGTCTGCGCCGATCGTGGTCGATGGCGACAGCGACGGTGACGATGGGTATGGAAAGGCCACGGAACAGCGCCGCAAGAGGCGTAAATTGCAATGAGACCTCAGTACGTAGCGACTGATTTTGTTACGGCGCAACCCTGCCAATAGCCGAAAGAGGCGTTAGGGCAGGGCATGTATTGTTTGGCGCGCACAGCCAGTTTCTAGATTAACGCTATGCCGCATTTTGCGCTAGGGCAGAAGGGCTTGGCACGCCACGCGCACGGCGCGTATATCCTTCTGCTCCTCCATAGCTTCTAGATAGAACAACCAACTCTTACATACCACACACAGTCATACAGTAGCACACTGCAGCTATTTCGTGACTCTTCTGCTTCTATAGCACCCCTATCCCTATTACTCAGGTTTTCCGTGTAATAGATTTCAAGATTCCTAGCAAAAAATTTAGTAGCTATAGTCAGTTCTGCTCTTCAAGAGGGGCTTCTATATAATCACATCTTTTTCAAGCCTTACTATTCGTGATTCTCACTAATGCTTGAGGAACCCTGCTTCCCCTGACCCTACCACCGTCGCAACTAGCGCCATTTTTCTTGGATAAACCCAGATCCTAGGCTTGCACAGGCACTCCAAGCGGCACACTTGTACCTCCATACTCGCAACAACGCCAAAAAGATCTATCTTGGATCACAGATGGTTCCAGTAGGTTCACAGCCTGGTACGTATATCCGCAGATGTGTGGGGTCGTCGACGGCCAATCAGCCTCGATAGATTTCCTTCAACTATCATAAAGGAATGGAAGCCGAGGAGCTGGACGGCATCGGCGTATCAGAAGGGCCTCATTTGCATAGATCTGGTGCTGAAGCGAGGCGAGGTGATTCAGAGCCTGACGAGCTTCTCCAGGGAGGTAATTCCCACGGAAACGCTTTAGGTGTGGGAGCTCATTCATCCAAAATTCAACTTCAGCAGTCATATTTCGTTGGGGCACCAGAGTTCTGTAAGCAGGAATCTTGTCTGGCCTTGTATCGCTGCTGATCCCGCATCTACCACGACAATGATCAGGCACCAAGCAGCAACTGCGGGGGCACATGGCCTGTTACCACATTTTCACGTCGAATCGATGAGTCTTCATGTGGCGTGCCCCTGGCGGATCTGCTGTGTCTCTGCCTGAGCAAGGCATAAAACCCACGAAAAGAGGAGCACCGGGTGGGCGCTGGATGGATGCCAAGTGCCCTGACCACGGTGACGGGGTCGCAGGCTGCATTTAATGATAAGTTGATGAAGCGTCTCAGTGGACGATGTCTGCGCTCTGTTGGTTTGGCGGTTGCGGCTGGGCAATAAACAGATCCAATCGGTGGCATCGGACCTCTCACGATCGCGATCGTACGGCTTTTAAAAAAGAACGTACGGATTCTATGCCTCTTGGACTGGCCTAGACCCGAGCAGGAGCCAGGCTACTAAATAGCAACAAAGATTGGTCGGTGATGGGGGCTGGGGGTGATTGCTGAGAGTAATTGTGTCACTTTATCAAACCGAGATGACGAAGCTGCATGACCGACGAATTGGGAAGCGAGACGTAGGGGCATGACATGAGGGCAGCGCCTCCAAGCCAATTCTATAAAAGCTGGCCCCGTCCCAGCTTGAGCTCGCAAACCTCTCTCCCTGCGAACACTTCCGCTCACAACCGTCAGGATGCTCAATCAATTTGAACGCCAGCTCCAGGTTCCCAATGAGATTCTCGTCGAGGTCTTGTTATGTTTGTTTTTCCGTTCTGTGTTAGGAGCTATGTTGCTGACCTCTTCCTCTTCAGCTTCCCCCAGTAAAGATGTCAGGCGGTTGCTCTTAGTTTGCAAACAGCTCTTCGTTGTAGCTGGTTCCATCGCTCGCCGCAGTCTGATCTGCTCAATCGCCGTCCCCAGCTCTCTCACCACTTCTGCTTCGACCTCTTGTGCAACTCGTAGTCTTGCTCGCCGATATCACGCGTCCTCCACCATCCACAGGGAGGAGATCGTCACGAATCTACGTTCCCTGCGTATCCTGGCGAGAAATGTACTCGGCGAAGCGCAAGACCAGAGGGTGGTCCAACAGGAGCTTCAGCTACGAGAGAGACTTACCAATTTCGAATCCGCGGCCTTGTCCGAGTCCGTTGCCAAAGCCAAAAGCCTCCAAGTACTAAGGTAAAGTCGTCTTATACCAGTGTACTGTTGAGTTGTAATTTTGATCGTGAGCCAGCTTTACCGGCCCTGTCGCGGATGCTCTCAAGTCCGCTGCCAGCCATCTACCGCGAGTATTTGAGCTTTCAATCGATGCCCAGGCCAACCTCGATTTCATCCCGCGCTAACCTGAGAATTTGCGTCACAAACGACATCATAGATGGCAACTTCGACACGTTACCACCTACCCCTTATCTTCTCAGACACTGCTGATCCAGTTTGGCGAAAAGACTTCTTGGTGCGACCAGTCATCGCTCTTTTACAAGCATCCGTTGATTGATCTCTCGGGTCTCGACAGCCTGCAAGTGCTTACGTTGAGCGGTACCAAGGGTTCCATGATCAGGGCCGATACGATCGGTGGCTCCTCGAGGAGCGTTCGGTCGCTGGTCTTCCGGGGCGTGCATCTCGTTGGCGTTGGCTGGCACTCCTTCTATGTTCGGCTCGCGTCGAATCTCAGATCGCTGGCCTTGATCGATGTGGGGGGGCATCAGATTGGCCGTACAGAGCTACCTGTC